TTTGAAAACGGCAGCTCCCTATCGGAAGGTAGCCCCCCACACACACACTGCGCCCCGAGCCCTGAGGAGCGCCCCGGGCTTCTGCAGCCTTCGCCCAACGCGGCCTCTGCTACCTGCTCTTACAGATAAGGAAATTGAGACACGGAGCGGTTCTCCTGACCACGGCCGCGCCCGGGGGTGGGGCCGGGGGCACGAATTGAATAAAAGAAACTGCAGGAGGGACAGTGGCCGGTGGTGCTGCGAGGTCCCCACCTTTCTCTGGCGGGACAAGCAGCCGCGTATGCGCGCACGCACCTGTACGTACAGAAATGCTGTGCGTGTTTCGGAGCTGGAGATGTGTGATTTTATCCACGGGAGCCGGCCCTGGCGCGCAGTGAAATCCCCCAGGCGCAGGCCCCGACCCCGAGCTCAGGACATCTGACTTATGTTCCTAAGGTGCTGTTTTCCACGACCCCAGAACGATGCTGGCCCTTGTGCCCCACCCTAACCTGCGACCCTTTCTGCCCAGAGATGAAATGAGCTCCTGGGGCCGAAGGGTAAGAGGAATCCAGAGCCTAGAAGCTGCGGGCTCGGTTGTTTTTGTTTTGGTTTTTTGGTTTTTGGTTTTCGGTTTTTTTTCCAGAAAGGAGGAGGCCTGGGAACACAGGGAGCTGTGGATGGGGGGCGCTGCAGAGCCTCTGATGAGAGGAACACAGCCAATCAGAGCGGACTGTTAAACTCCCACACAGTCTCCTGGGGTAACCGGGCCCTGGCAGCAGACGCGGCAGACACGCAGGGTGAAGCCTCTCTGAGCCTGCACCGCCCCGCCCCTCCCACGTGCCTGTCAGCCATTGTCACCTTAGCTCTGGTGACCCAGCCTCCAACCGCTGAGGGGCCGTGAGCCACGGGTGGGGGATCCACGGAGAGAGGCCCGAGGGACCTCGCAGACAGCAGCGTCTCGGAGGGGACACTGCGAGGGGACACTGTGGGCTGGCAAGGAGAGGGTGGGAGCTGAGGCCTGGAGAAGCGGGGAGAGAGCATCCGGAGAGCGCAGGCGGCAGAGAGAAGGCCTGCGGCAGGATTAGCCTCCCGGGACCCCCGCGAGACCATGTGGAAAACAAGCTAAGCTGCCGGGCAGCAGCAGGCAGTGCCAATGCGCGTGCACTAACTGCTTGGCCAGTGATCGCTGCGGAAGATGGAGGCTTGGCTGAGGGCCTGGGAAAGGGCAGCTTCCTGACCCTGAGCTCGCGTACTAAGGCTCTGACCGGTCCCGGCCATAAGGTAAGGGAGGCCAAGGCGGGGCTGCCCTGTCCCTGCCACTGTGGCTGCGTCTCACCGGTGAGCCATGAGAATGGTGCCTTTACCATGCGTCCCCAGCCCTGTGCACAGCCGAGCAGCAGAGGTGGCCAAGCCATGCGGCCTTCCAGGGCTTCAGGGTCCCCAGGCGCTCTCCGCCTGAGCCCACATGCCACCTGGGGAGGACCGATGTCCTGTGCGTGGTCCAAGGGCTACCAGCAGCCCTCAACACCAGGCACACACAGGTTGTAACAAACAAAATCTGCCCAGATTTCCCAGAGGTCCTCTGGGGAGCAAAATCCTCCCAGATGAGGATGGCTGCTCTAGTGGAAAGGTAGGACCTAGTGCTCCCACAGAGAGAGTAGAGAACCCCATCGGTGACCACTGCGGGGACAGGGCCACACTCCATGAGGAGCCCTGCTCACAGCCCTGTGCTCTCCCCCGTGTCACACTGGCCGCTGTGCTGCTGGCCCGGGCCCACTCTTCCCCATCTGGAGCCCTGAGCCTGCCCTTCCAAACTCACCTGCTCCCAGCTCTGCCTCTGTCCTTCCCCCAGACGTCCACTCAGACACCACTGCCACTTCCGGTCACAGTGTCTAACACACACACCTTGTCACCCTGTCTGTCCCTCTGCTATGGTGTGGATGTGACCTGAATGCCTCTCCTGGGCTCCTGGAAGCTGTGTCCCAGCATAATGATCTTCAAAAGGGATGGAAAATTAAGAAGTGGCGCTTAGTATGGGGGGTTGGATCAGGCATGTGAGGTGTTCATGGGAGCCCGGGAGGTTCTGAGAGCCTTATAAGAGCTGGCCGGCCCTGCCCCCACTGTGCCTCTGCTGTCCTGTCTCACCGAGTGATCTGACCCCCATGCACTCCCACCATGACACTGTGACAGCCCTGGGGGGCCCTCACCCGAGATGAAACCAATGGTGTTACCCTATCTCGGGCTTTAGTTCCAAACACGAGAGCTACATAAACCTCTCTTCTTTATAAAACACCCAGTCCCTGCTGTTTTGTTAAAGCAATTGAAAACAGCCTAATGCACACTTTATCTTATTTGTTCAGTGCGGCTGCTTAACTTTGGGGAGGATGCCTGTCTTGCTGTGCTGTCTTCCTTGCCAGATGAGACTCCGGGATGCTCATCCTAGCACAGGTCTTAGCCTGGCCATTGTTAGGGTTTATATGTGGATGTCCCAAAACCTCCTGCTCTCAGAGCTGGGGCTTTGGGGAAGGTGATTGGCCCATGGCTTAAGCAGGTCACTGAGGGGGTGACCTGGAAAGGCTATAACTCCCTCCCCACCTCCTCCCGTGACTCTCCAAGCCTCCTGTTCTCCTTGCCCTGGGCAGCTTTCCTCCTGATGCGCTGTCCTGCCTTGGAGCCAGCCAACTCCGGCCTGAAACACGAGCCAGAATAAACCTGTCCTCCCTAAAGTTGTGGGTGCCGGGTATTTTGTTCCAGCAACAAGAAAAGTGACTGAGACACACAGCAAGCACAGAGCAGTACCGGAGGGACTGGTGAGTGATGGAAAGACTGCCTGGCATTACTTGTGAGGCTGCTGTGGGTGCAGAGGAAGCAGGGCCCTGGGCAGAGTAGGGCAGGCACCAGCCCATCCTAATCGAGCCTGGCTGGAGCTAGTCTCGTGGCTAAGACAGTCCCAGGGACTCTTGTGCAAATTTAGAGAACGATCCAAGGTTCTGTGATGCCGAAAAATGTATTTCCCAGGAAGCCGCTGTCATGATCAGAATGACTCAGCCTGGGAGCCTTTGTGGGCCCCAGCAGTTTCCTGAAAATCAAACTAGGCTCTGGGGGGCAAGGTGAAAGATCATGGGGACGGAGCTGGTGCCGCCGCTCAGAGCCCAGGGCTGGTGCTGCAGGGGCGTGGCCGCTGTCCTGGTCCCCAGTGAGGGGCATCACTGCTCTCAAGGACAGGCTGGCCTTTCCCTTTCTGGGAGGGGGTGGCCTTTGGTGGGTGACAGGATACAACTGTCACCTCCCCTTCTAGGGGTCTGAGAAACGTGGGCTGAGCCAACTGGGGCTGCTGCAGACAGCAAGGCTGGGCCAGGCCCCCATCCAGGCGGGGACAAGGGTGGCCCTCACCCTGTGGATTGGTGGGACCACACTGCCCAGGTGACAAAGGAGCTCACACCCAGAATGGGACTGCAAAGAGGACACCACCCGAGAGTGGAGGGCGCTGTGCCGGCTGCTCCCCGTGAAAACAGCCCCCAGCCCCGCAGCCACGGGGCCCAGGAACCAGAATACACGTGTGCATCTCAAGCCTACTTCATATTTGCACTGGTTTTATTTTGGATTGTATGTTTTATTTTAGATTGTATGGCACTTGGGAAACCCAAGGACACTTAGACAATGCCCGCCGACCTCCAGTATTTGGGTGGGCTGGCTTTTCAGGCTGAGGTGCTGTCACAATGCCCCACCCAAGGCTGTGTGCTCTTCCTGAGGTCTCCTGCGAGGTCTGGAAAGCTTTTGAAAATTAAGGTCTCCCTAGAATCTTCAGGACTACCTTCTAAGGTAGGGAGGGGATAAAGAGGTAGGGCTGTGCAGAGCTTGGCCCTCACTGTCCGAGCTCCAGCCCTTAGTTTCCTTGTCGGCACAGTGGGCGTGGACACAGGTGTCATAAGGGTGACAGAAAATGGCACCAACACAGGCACGGGACATCTGTGCCACCCTGTACTCTCATTTTGGTAGCGTGTAACAACTCTCAGGCATTTCTTATTTCCATTTCTGCTAGGTAGTTTCCTGTAGGCAAGGTTGGAGACCATCTTACTGACTCTGTTTCCGCAGCACTGACCACAGTGTCTGAGATGCAGCAAGCACCGAAATCAGTTGGTAAATGAATAAGTGAAGTGAGGAGCTAAAGAATTAATTTTACAATGAGTGAATGAGTGGAACTCTTAGCACAGAGCCTAGAAGATCGTAAGCATTCCATGTACTAACAGCGCCACATATCATCTTCTGTACATCGTTTCGTCTTTTGCTGTTAGACCAGAAGGGCCTTTCGGTAGGGTCGCAAGCCGGGTGGGTGTAATGGTAAACCGTGATGGGTCAGTGGGACTTGAGTGAGAGGCGTCTGGCTGACAGGTAAAGTTCTGGGCGTGTGTAAGAGCCTGACTGAACCAGAGCGACTCCATGTTGACCGGCAAACGACCTAGAGACTGTCGCTCCCCCCCATCCCTTATAGGATAACTAATGATTAATTGTGAATTGTCAGGTGACTGCTTTGAAGTAGCTGGGAAACTAAATGGAAACTGTAGTGAACACAGAGAGCCAACATCAATCACGCCACTCCTTGCTTGCCTGTAGTTGAATGTTCTGAACATTATAATCTAAGTTGTAAATGGAATAATGGATAATCGATCTGCTGATCATTAGTACGTGACGGTCAAGTATATGCTTGATGACCACTAGCTCAGATCAACTGATTCTTTGCCTTTGTCCCCTTCCTGTAAATTTTGAGTGTAAACCCCCCCCCCTCAGCCCTATATAAAATGGCCTCTGTTTCTGAGCTAGCTGCCTCTCTGAGCTACTTGGCTTGGGGAGTGCCGTCTGGCCAGACTAATAAAGGTCTATTTGCCAACTTGCCTGGTGTGTTCCTTCCTGGGTGACTCTCGCTGTCCGACAAGCTCCTGGAGCCTTGCTGAGCTTCTGAGCCCAGCATCGTGGAGGCCTCTTGGCTGTTCACGCTCCAGGAGTAAAAGTGAGACTTAAGTCTTACACGTGTCTGTGGATGATCAACATGTAGGCCACAAATTGAGAGGAGAAGACCCACCCTGGACATGGGTGACATCAGCTAATAGGTTTGTGGCCTGGATGGAATGGAGCGGGAAAGGAGACAGAAGTCTGCCCTTTTTTGGAAGAGTTCCAGTCTCTTCCGTGGCCTTTGGACATTGGTCTCCAGTTCCCTGAGCTTTTCAGGCCAGGCTCACACTGACAACTGCAGGGAGCTTCCAGGCCATCAACCTTTGGCTGCTGCTGGATCCTCCAGCTCCCCAGTGTGCAGATGGCCATTTTGGATTCTTCTATGGCTGACCTGCTGGGTGGCCATTTTGGATCTTCAGCCACAGATCCTGCAGATGGCTGTTGTACTCTTCTGCTTCTGATCCTGTGAGCTACTTAATAAATCTCGTGCATGATTCTACATATATTGTATATTGATTCTATTCCTCTGGAAAACCCTAACTAGTACAGTAAAGAAATTGATTGCTGTAAAGATGGTTTAATTGATGGCAGTTTTGGAATGGAGGACTACAAGTGCTCTCTCTCTCTGCATGCAAACAATATAAATGCTTTCCTGAGTTCTTTCTTTTTTCCAGTGAAGGGAGTGGAACCTCCAATTCTTGAAAAAAAACATGTTGCTATCCTTCTGTCTGTTGCTGGTGGAACTGACATGGGCAGGTCACATATAGCTAACCAGCCTTGGAGAGACTAGACTCGGGTCTGGTTTTCAACCTGGTCCCACAAGGATGCCTGTGTTTTTGCAGAACCACCTGAGGTACTGGCTCCAACATCAAAGAGCTTGTACGGCTGGGCTGGAAGCAGAATGAGCGATTCTAAAACACCAGAAGAGTTGGGGATTTTGTACTGTTTTTTTAAAGGCACCCAGCAGCATTTGTACATCAATCATGTTTCCTTGTCCTGTGGAGAGGGAGCACCCTTATCTCCACTGCCTTCAGATCATCAGTGAACCTTATGGTTAGAGCACCCAGCACTCTTGTCAAAGAAGCTGTCTTCCTGGCACTGCAGGGTTTTTGAAGCACTAACATCAAATTCACACTCAGAGTTGTCTATCCTGGGGATTTCCATGCACCTGGAGTTCTGAGGAGAGGAGTGCTGACCAAAGGCTAAGTTTCAGATCTATCTGTGCTGCAAGTGCACAGACGTCCTTCTCCTTCAGAAGGACACAGTGTCAGGAGGGAGGTCACCTCGGTAGTAACTGACCTTGCTGGGTGCTGAACCAGGATGCAAATGGGAGCAGAAGATTTGTACAGTGGGATGGGGTACAGCGAGGGGACAGCTGGTTCGAACTGGGGGTGCAACACCATCCACTCTTTCCTATCTTCTTAAAAGTCAGAAACTCCTCTTCCAAATACCACACGGATGGGCCTCCAATACCTGGAAACAAACTTGGTCCAAGCAGCTGTGTGGAAGGGGCCTTCACCCACTGGTGCCCCTGCCTGCCCAGGTGTGGAGAAAGCATCTTGTAGCCCAAGCCCTGGTGGACATCTCTGGATCGGGTGGGGGGGTCCACCTCCAGTTCCAACTACTACATTGTGAGGCAGGGGCCCTACACCAAGCACGAAGAGGAAACTAAAGGAAGCATCTTCCGAGGCTCTGTCCTGGGCCCTGGGTGTCTCCTATGGTTGCGGTCAGCTGATGTCTTGGGGGTGGCCCAGATGGGGGTGCAGGGTGAGCATGGACTAGTACATAACACATCTTAATTCTTTTTAGTCGGTTCCCTTCCCATTTGCAAGGGATCTATCTCCCTGTTTCCTATTGTCAATCTTGTATTTATACTTTAGTTTTCTCATGTAAGGGAAACCATGTGCTATTCAAGCTTGTGTGTCTGATTTATTTTGCTTAGCACTACAGTCTCTAGGGGCACCCATTTTCCTACCAATACCTCAGGTTTATCCTTCTTCGTGGCAGAGTAGTACTCCATGTGTGTAAACACCACCTTTTCTTTATCCATTTGTCTGCTGATGGACCTATGGGCCACTTTCAAGAGTTAGCTATTGTGAGTTGTCAAGTCACTTATACACACCTTCATCTTCAGGTTTCTGATAATTCCCATGGGTGGGAGGTGTTATTATTTTATAGATGAAATTGAGCCCAGCAAGTGCTAGAGATCTGGTGTCTTCTCGTCACCTCTGTGTCCCAGGGCGCAGAGCAGGAAAGGCACCTGGACTATGGCCTGCATGGTCGTCCTCACCCATGTCAGTGCCAGACATTTGTTAGATGGCCCTGGAGCACATCATGGGGGCAGGATGGGAATGGAACTCCAGCCTCCAGAATCCCAGTCATGGTACCAGGGATTGAACTTGGGTCCTTGCGCTTGCAAGGCAGGTGGCGGAACCACTGAGCTAAATACCCAGCCCTCCCTCGCATTTTTTATCTCCAGACTAAAGGAGTAACACCATGATGTGAAGGTTCTGTTTTTGTATTATTGACTTAATTGAGCAAAGCCTGGGAAAAGAAAACTGATGGAAAGCAATTCGGGAAACTGGTTTTTAAAGTATAAATTTAATTTTCATTATGATGATGATGATGAAAGCTCTCTGCTAATCTTTTCATTTTTCAGCACCAGAGATTCAGACCCAGGGTCTTTGCACTGAGCTACATCCCTATCTCCTTTTTATTTTTTATTTTGAGACGGGGTCTCACTAAGTCACCAAGTTGCTCAGGCTAGGCTTGAACTTGAACTCTTCTGGTAGATTATTATTCTAAACGTTGGCTGTTCATTAACTCATTCTTCAGCCTGTGGAATGATGCCTTGACAAATAGAAATAACATGAAGATAGAAGAAAAGTACAGCACTTTGTTGGCCCACCGGCTTCCTCCCTCACTCTTCTTCTGGTACCAAGAGTCAAACTCAGATCATTGTGTTTGGGAGGTAGGCAGCGGAACCACTGAGCTAAATCCCTAGCTCCTCCCTCACCCTTTATCCTAAGTGTTATGAGTCTCAGTCTAGAATACAGGAAGGGAATTGGGTGTAGTGTTCCTTGCGGTAGCCTGGAGTGGATGGAGCTGGTGATTCCCAGGGAGAATTTATTTCAAAGGAGGAAACCCCCACGGCCATGATTAGCTGCTGACTGGAAGCCAGATGGGATGCCTTTTTCAAAAAGAGAGATAAGGGACTAACTGCCCTACTTTCATTTCAGGTAAAACATCAAGAAATAGGGTGAAAGCAGTAAGAAAAATTAATCAGAGACCAAATGAAAATGGAAAAGAAAGATCAAGGCATAAATATGCCTCGGGTCCTCTCCACAGGGCTGGGGAAACTCTGAATTCAATCTCTGGGTTTTTTTTTTGTTTGTTTTTTTTTTTTAGCTGATTTCCATTTCTCATAGCTCTGCAAACTCTCTTCCTCTTTTAGGGACTCATGATATGACTTTAAAGTTCTACATGACTTATTTGCACTGGGGCAGCACTTACAAAAGCCTGTTCCCTGGATTCTAAACCGTGTTTCACAAAAGACACAATTCAGCTTCTGGGGTCCTGTGTGCTGACAACTTGGCCTGCCCTTGCCTGGAGAGGGCGTTAATGCAGCCTCTCTGCGAATGGGGAACGCTCAAGAGGTGCCTGGGGAATGCAGCCCTTTCCCAAACTCACCTGACACCGAGACCCACTTTTCGAAGAGACATTGTGTGAACAAGGTTCCGAGAGCCCCACTTTGGGTAACGGGGCTCTGAAATGAAATACGGGTTCAGAAACTTAATTTGTTCCATGAATCTGGGGAAGGTGGCCGTGGTCACGTTCCTCACCCCATGCGGAGTTCCTGAACAGAAGCAGAATTTTGCTGAATGCTTGTGCTCGCGAACCCAACTGAATCATTCATAAACAAAAGCGTTCAGGAGCCAAGGCCAGGTATTACTGTAAGTCCAAAGGAAATGGAGGCAGAAAGAGATGTGCGAGGCCTCTGTTATTTTTGCCTTTCCCTGAGACCAGTCTGGCCTCGCAACATACAGATTCGTGAATACAGAAGAGAGGAGGCTTGTCGGGGCGCTGGGACCCTGAGAAGTGGGTGTCTTCGTGTATGACTGAGGTTTTTGACACCCAGAGAGTCAGACCACACTGTCCCCAAAGCCCACGGTGCAGTTGGAGCTGCCGGGCTTGGAGGCAGATGGGTTGCAGGGCGGCCCCGTTTCTGCCCTGCCCCTCGGGGCCCGAGCCCCTGTGTCCCTGCACCCGGGTTCGTGCATTTCACCACCAGCCAGGAAGCAGGATCTGTTGCCGGCCATGCACAGGAAGCAGCGGGGACACCAGCAGGAGAAGCAGGCAAGCTTGTGGACTCCCTCTGGAGCCGACACTAAGGTCAAATCCGACTGTATCTTGAGGAGGGACCCGGCGAGATCTTGAGAGGTGATCAGGTCTCCAGGACTCTGCCTTGAGTGGATTTGTGCACTGATGGAGTTCTCCAGAAGTCTCGTGTTTGTGGACAGTGAC